GGAGAGACTGATGGCACGGCTGTAGGGACAGGAATGGAAGACTGGGAAGGACAGACAACAGTAATATTTGGATCCATTACTGAAGGCTCGGCAGTGGCCGATGCAGGATGCTCCGAATTGTCCGCAGGTTGGCTATGGAACCGTGACAATGCATCTGCGTTGGCATGCTGAGTACCTCTACGGTGGACAGTTGTGAAATCGAACGCTTCTAGTTTCTCCAACCATCTCGCCAGGATACCTTCCGAATCCTTGAAAGCCTTCAACCAGAGAAGGGCTTTGTGATCGGTTCGCAAGGTAAAGTTTGCACCCAGCAAATAATGTTTGAAGTATTGCACAAAGAAGACCACTGCATACATCTCACGCCGAGTTGTGCCGTAGCGACGTTGGCTCTTACTAAGTGAACTACTAGCATACGCAATTACCTGCTCTCTGCCCTGATCGTCAACCTGCGATAGAGTTGCACCAATACCAGTGTCAGAAGCATCCGTGTCCAGGATAAACTTGCGGGATGGATCCGGGTACGTCAGGACAGGAGATGACGTGAGCTTCTGCTTCAGGATATCGAACGCTTGCTGACACTCATCCGTCCACGAAAAGCTTGCCTGTTTCTGCATTAGCTTGTGTAGCGGTGCTGCAATTGTCGCGAAGTCCTTAATGAACCGCCTGTAGTAGGAAGCAAAACCTACAAATCGACGAACCTCGGTTGCAGAGCTAAGTGGTTTGAGACTGGTGACCGAACTGCAATTCTTGGGATCAGGGCTCACACCACCTCCCTTGAACACATGCCCAAGATACGTAACCGACTTGCTCAGAATCTGGCACTTACGAGGCTTGACTTTCAAACCTGCTGCCCGGAATTTTTCAAATACTAGGCGCAGTCTAACCAGATGTTCTTGAAATGTTTTCGAGAAAGTTATGGTGTCATCTATGTACGCTGAACATACGCTTGGCACAAGATCACCCAGAACCATGGTCATCAGGCGCTGGAAAGTTGCTGGGGCATTGCACAACCCAAATGGCATGACTTTCCATTCAAACAATCCAAATGGAGTGACAAATGCTGATTTCGCCCTTGCTGCATTAGTTAGCTCTACCTGCCAGTAACCGGATGCAAGATCTAGGGTTGTGAAATACTGTGCGTCACCCATGTTGTCTATGGCATCATCAATCCGCGGAATGGGGAATGCGTCTCTGACAGTTACAGCATTGAGTTTGCGATAATCGACACATAGTCTAATAGCTCCATCAAGCTTCCGAACAACAACAATAGGGGCTGCCCAAGGACTGTTGGAAGGATCGACTAAACCCTCAGCTAAAAGCTGCTCAACATGTTCACGAACCTCATTGGCATGGTGAAGCGGCAATCGTCTAGGGGCTTGGCGAATAGGCTGGCTGCTAGTGGTCTCGATGTCGTGTTTGGCAACACCGGTAGAGCCAAGATCCATTGCTCCCGTTGAAATTATGTCGCTGAACTCCGAGAGAAGAGACCTGACGGCTGCTGCCTCTTCTGTATCGAGATGACTAAGGTCAAACAACTCAACAGGGTCAGAACACATATCAGCAGCATTACAGCTTTCAGCAGTACAATCAGGCTCATCCGCGGCTTCTGCGGCTTTCTCAACAAAGCAAGATTCGAACATGCCAACAACTGTACCCTTGTTTATAGTGACAGGCCGTGGTAGCAGGTTCTGCAACCTGACAGGAACAGTACTGTTCTCACTCACGGTCGTGACCACTCTAGCTGCACTGACACAAAATTTATCTACGAACGACTCTGTTGGCTCTACCATTCCGCACGATGGAGACATAAACTCAGTGTCACGTAATCTACCTTGCGTTATCAACTGAGAATAGCCCTGTAGAACAACAGATTCAGCCAATTGCACTGGAATGGGGTCTGTTTCCACTCTCTGACATGAAAGGTGCTTGGGCCCAACTCCCTGTGTTAATGGAAGGGTCTGATTGCTCAAGCGCAGACAGCCTTGTCCCAGATCCATAATACAACCGTGCCTACGGAGGAAGTCTATGCCTAATAGTACGTCAGGCTCAATGTTCGCAACTACCATAGTGTGCTGAAGTTGGAGGCTGCCAAACTCTAGCTGCACATCCACCGCTCCTTCCACAGTCACGCCACTGCCATCAACACTTCGGACTGATGTAGAAATTTTGTTTAATTTTATATGCTTATGTTGTTGATAGAATGCTGAGCTGACAAACGAAATCGAACTTCCAGAATCAACTAACATGTGGACATCAGTTGTGCATATTGAACTTACTTTGCCGATAACATACTGGCAACTGTCAACAGCAACGGAATGGCATACTACATCGGAAGGCGCGGCGGGCAGCACTTCCGGGCCATGGTGGTTTGGAGCTGACTCTGGACCCTCTATGCCAACTCCCGGCCGTTTCCCGAAGGGCGCTGACGTTGTCCCCGGGGTGGAGGTGCAGTCGGGCAGTACGCCATCAGATGTTCGGCACTCCCACAATGGTAACAGCGGCGCTGTTGTTGGGGTTGCTGCTGGGGTTGCTGCTGCGGTCGCTGCAAAGATGACAGAGCGGTTTCCAATCGTTCCATCCTTACTAATAAGGCATCCAAACGATCTTCCCTGGCAGCACAGACAGCCGCGGCCACTGGCTGAGACGCACTAGTAGTAGCGTCCGCTTGGAGTATGGCAAGTGCTCGAAGTCCTTGCTGCAGTGCCTGGTCAAGAGTTCGGGGGTCTTGGCGACGTACCTCCATGCGCAACTCTCTGCTGTCCAGACCTTCAATGAATTGGTCACATGCCAGCTGGTCCTGCACGAGGTTTGGCAAGGTAGGGTACGCTCTGCGAGACAATCGGCGAATCACCTCGCAGTAATCAGACAACGCCTCCTCACCTCGCTGTCGTCTGGCCTTCAATTCCGCTCTGTGGAGGTCGGTCCTGACGGGTGGAGCAAACCGACCCTCCAGAGCTACCAGTAATTGCTGAACATCCTGGCGTGTCGCGACAGGAAGCGACTGGTAGTAGCAACGCGCATTATCTATCAAGTACAACGGGATGTACTGTGCCTGGTCCTGCGGCGTCCACTCATTAACCAGGCAAACTTGAGTGAAGTGGTCACGCCAAGTAGTCCAGTCCGAGGCTGCTCCACCATCAAAACGTTCCGGAGTTGCCCATGGCCGGATGGGTCGAACGGGAGCTGGCTGGGCGGGCTGAACTGGCTGGGCGGGCTGAACTGGCTGGGCGGGCTGAACTGGCTGGGCTGGCTGCACTGGCTGGGCGGGCTGAACTGGCTGTGCTGGCTGAACTGGCTGGGCTGGCTGAGCTGCCTGAACTGGCTAGCCCGGACGGGGCGGCTGGGCCGGCGGTACTTGCTGGTTAGGCTGTGCTTGGGCCATTCCGAACCAGGAATCACTTCACATTGTCACAACAACAAAAACATAGCATGAAAAAAAAACACGAAACATCCACCGCTGCCACCAGTTGTAGCGTGGCCCAAGTGGTTGGGCACACAACAACCAACAAGTCTCACCAGAGCAAGGAGAAGTGGTTGAAGAAATGAAGGATGATCTTTCTTCAGAGACAGAGCTTTTTATATGTGCCAAGACTAAGAGAGTTCAGGTTTCACATAACAACGAGCAACGGTTTAGACCAATCAGGAGATAGAGAGATGGCACAGATTCGGCCAATCAGAAGACATGTATTGGAAGAAAGTAAAGAAAAAAAGGAAAGCTTCTGGAAAAAGGTAGGTTCGAACTTCACATGCAAAGGATACTAGTCTTATTACTGTACAGGTTTTAACACACCAAGCTACAGTGACACAGGCTCTAGACTACAATGCAACAGGTACAAGGTTGAAGAATCTGCATGCTCTACAGTGTGTGTGAATGCTCAACCGGGCCAGCACAGCAAAGTGATCACTTATGTCTAAGTGTATTGCTGCACAGGTACCATCCAAAGGGGATGATGAGAGAAACAAATCTAGCATTGTGGATGATGTTGCCGTGACTCGAGTTGGAGATGTAACATAATTGCAGAGATTGAAGTGGGAAAGTATGTTGTACAAAGGGGATGCAGATGGAGAAGTTGGATTGCTAAAATCAACATTGAAGTCGCCACAGTGGACTGCTGACATCCCTGAACAGCTTGCTCAACGTTCTGATCCAGTGTGGTCCAGTAGGCAGCAGAACTATTTGGCGGCCGATAACAGCAGCCGAGGAGCGTTCCATGTCGACCAGGGGCTAGAATCTCCAGCCACAGCATCTCTAGCTCGCACTGTAAATCGGCCCGTTGTCGTAAAGCCAGTGACTCGTGACAATACACAGCAACTCCGCCACCTCGCTGATCAGGTCTTTCTCTTCTGTATAGCTCGAAGTGCGGGATGGACAACTCCTGATCGGACACATCCGGGGTCAACCATGTCTTGGCTATCATGAGAACGTGAATGCCTCGTGTTGAGATGAACGTTTGAACTTCTGCTACCTTCCGCCGAACACTACACACATTCAGAAATCCCACACTGAGTGACTGGGTCGAGGAGGTAGGTGTGCTGTGGGTGTTACATCATAGTTATATTTCGGCACAGCAGACATTGGCATAGTAGATGTTGGCATATGATAATTATACTGGCACAATTACTGTTGTCCCAATCTGCATTGCCACAATGCATGTTTGTATAAGTCATGATGGCACAGATATGTTTGGACGAAACCTGTTGACACTCAAGGCATTTTCATAATGACAGATTGCATGCCTTCTCACCGGCCGGTAGTACCCAAGAAATCGCTCTGCAACAGTGATTTTGGTTGGGAATCTTCCTGAAACATTTGTTGGTATGAGGTGTTTCATTTATAAGGCAAATTAAAGGGGCAAATGAAGCAATGTTTTATTCCTCTGTGTCCGCAACCAACATGATATGCTATTTCGTTATGTTGGTTGCAGACACAGATGAATAAAATATTGCTTCCACAGGGACAGCCATTGATAAAACCACTCTAAAATATAATCATCACTTACTGACACAGAGGATTTTGGCGTGGCGATTAATTGTGGAATTTTGAAATGGATTACTGCGATTTCTAAACGTTACAGTTATGTAATGGGAGTTGCCATTCACTCGGATTGGTGTGACGTGGTAAGGTGCGTGCCGAAGAGCCAATCTATCTAGCCAGCGCTCTCTTAATACATGGCCATGTGCTTGCAGCCAGTCATAGGTTATGAGGTGAAGTCCGTACTCCTGACATGCCTCCTCTGCAAACTGCTCAGTCACGTTGGGTTTCAGTGATGGCGTGGCTGCGGCGTATACCGAGTCGTTGTAATGGAGCCACTTGGCTGCAGGACAAGGGCACATACAGTAGTGGGCAGATAATAGGTACATTAGTAATGAAATATACTCGAATAACGGCTGCCCTGGGCTCTATAGTCGTACTCAATGAAACCTTGTCTGATGGCAGTGTCAGAGCAATGAACTAAAAAAAGAAGGTAATCGATAACCGCTTTGCAGTGATCGTTTCAGCCCTACCCTGAGTATTTGCCGGGCACACACACACACACACACACTTACACACACACACACACACACACACACACACACACACACACACATACACACACACACACACACACACACACACACACACACACACACACACACACACACACACACACACACACAAGGAGAACGATGTCAAAAACCGGGGCGAGAGGTTAAAGTGAAAAAAAATGTTCTATGCATACAAAGAAGGAAGGTTGCCGCTACTCAAACATCTCGATGAGCAGCATGCTGGCTATACCTAAAGCTGCATGTGGCTGGGCAGACCTCAGTGACCAGCAGTACGCCACTGTTGCAAACCACCCCAGTGGTTCTACCCAGTACAGTTGCTCTCGGTGAGACCCGGCCCAGCGTGCAGATTTAGTGCCTTCAACTTGCGCGGCCATTGACGCCGTGGAATTGGGACAAATGTGGCCGCGTACGCATGTACAATACAATGATGTAATCAGAACTGATCCAGGGCAGCCAGCTTTGCACTTTGGGTCTATTTTCACCGAGCGCAACTGCACTTAAAGCAGTCCCGGAGAAAGAAGTTTTAACCAAGCTATGAATAAAACGTACGATGCCGACATAATAATGTGATGAACAAATTAACTTTGTATCTTTATAGTTGTAGTCTCTTGGGGCGTGTTTGATTGGTCGGATCCAGAACAGGGGCGTTTTGAACAGGGGCGTTTGATTGGTCTGCACTGGTCTGCTCTAGGTTTGGAGTGTTCAGAACATGTTCTGACCACTCCGACCCCAGAGGCTGGAGCAGCCAGAGCTTGTTGCAAAGCCCAATGAGAACCTGACATGACTACGCAATGAGTTTCGTTTTTTTGTTTTCATTCGAATAGATTTTGGCATGCCAGTGATTACGAAAGGGCGTGGTGATGTACATGGAGGTCTAAGTGTGATTTTGCACATTACACGGCGGTCCCCACATCCATGATTTATTTTTTGGCTGTCTTCGAAGCTTCTTCTCCGGTTGTAGTTGCTTTTCAAGTTTGTTTTGCCTTCGCATGTTGAGCAATGTGAACATCTTTGAAGTCTGTGTAAATTTTGAAGTTCGCGGCATGGTGAGCTATCGTGAGTTCTACAATATTTCAGGCAAAAATATTCGCCGTTCTGTTTGATTGGTAACTGGTGTTCTGACTGCTCCAGTGACTCTAATCTGAATCCGGATTCACCAATCAAACATGCCCTTAGTTTATTTCCTTCTTATCCTGTAGTGTTTTGAGAAGAAGGGAACGAAAACTTTCAATACATAGTTCACATGTCCGGACTGGCTGATGGTATGTTCCGGCGTAGATGCATACGACAACATGATATTTTTCTAACGAACAAATGGAACAAAATATGCAAAGAATAATTCATGAACGTCCCAGTTGTCACCGTTATGCCGGGTTATGACACAAGCATAGACATGAACTGTTTCTTAGCAGATGGGGTGAATTGGTAACTCGCGTCTGGGTCCGACTCCGGCTAGATGGGTAGGTTTTCCCATTGGAGTGGGAAATCTAAATGAAGGTTGTAATCACTCTTGGCATCGCCTCTCTGTGTCAGTCCTCTAGCCCTGTCAATAGACATGGTTAGCATTTTACCATTCACATTCACTTCGACCGTACGTCGGCCTGTACCATTTTGTGTGTGATTTCAAGACACTGGTTAGCATTTCGGTTTCTGACACAACGATCGACTTGTGACGTACCCTAGTTGGAATCCTACCGTTTCGTTCTTCCGCTAAACAGAGCTTTTTATCGTCGAAACGGTACCAAACCAATGGTATTTTGGGTGTTGGGTACGAGTACGGTTGGATTTAGAGCGAACGGTTAAATGCTAACCATTTCTACACACACAACAAACGGGTACAGGCCGACCGTCGCAAATCGCGTGAATGGTAAAATGCTAACCATGCATAGTATTACTTTCTACCCAATGGTTGCTGGCTACTGAGCATCTCTCTCACGGGTTCATTTGATCACAATCCAACAGCCTACCTTCGCAGATGACATCATGATGGCTTGTTCCATCACTATCATACAATTCTTTAGTCAAACTGTTCTTGCCCTGCTGGTATATGAGATGTTGGTCATCCTTCACGAACGATGTCCATATTGAAGTAGGGTTGCTGTAAGAGCTCGTCACCATCTCGTTGAGCAATGCTTCCATGCAGTCGCGCACACCAAGCGTCTGATTGGTGAAGGAATCATGGTCTACCACGTTGTATCCTCTTCTTGTGCACATCTGGCGAGCATGCGTCAAGTTCGTTTTCTTCTGGCAGCTGTCACCGTCGAGGTGTGGATGACACGGCAAGCTGGCGAGAGCCATCCAGGTGTACGTTGCGTTATCTGTACCCAGGCACTTTGTCTTGAAAGCTGAACATAACACATTACACATGCAAGGCACAGTCAGGTGAAGTAGAAAGCACACATAAACAAGATGTACACTTCCTGAGCAGCGGTAGCATAGTTCAATTGAAAATTATATACCTATGCAAATACCACTCGCCCATTTAGCTCCATTTCCTCCAGCAAACTGACTTGCCAGTGCACTTTCTCTCCGGGTATCGTTTGACCCACAGTTCAGGACGAAACATTACATTTTGCCCTCTCATTTCACCTTGATAGACTTTCATCATCTTGGCCTTGTTGGAAGGATCAGACCTTAGCATATCCATTCTAATAGCTCTCAGCTATAAACTGCGTTCAATTTTAGCTACCTGGTAAAGTAGAGTCACTCTACCGATAGAGGAAGAAGGTAGAGGTAAGTGGACGAACGCTATTCTACCGGATTTATTAGTTTACACGATATGTACGTGAAATGTTTCTATTCCGTATGGAGGTGTACAAATCCTTGATCTTGTCGGAAATACCGTAGCACTACTAACTTCTACCGGTTTCCACCAACTTTTTCCTGGTAGAGCCGGTAGAGGAAAGTAGAATCCACACTTTTGACTTGAAGTTTTGACTAGAAGAAACGAACGCCTCTACCGAAAGAAATAGTTTCTACCCAAACTTGTAGATCAATAAACGAACGCCCCGTTAATGTGTACAGGTATTCCCACATTTCACAGAAATATGCACAGCAAACGTAGCTCTACCAACTTCTACCGGCTTCAACCAACTTTTCCTTGTAGAGCCGGCAGAGGAAAGTAGAACCCACCCTTTTGAGAAGAAGAAACGAACGCCTCTACCGAAAGAAATAGTTTCTACCCAAACCTGTAGATAAAAAACCAACGTCTCTTTAATGTGTACATGTATTCCCACATTTCACAGAAATATGCCAGCACACTGGATTTCACTTCATACAGCATAATACTCACTATGCTGACACTTGTCTCCATGGAAACCGTTCCGGCAGTTGCAACTGCCATCGTCAGTGCACTGACCGTCATTCAAGCAATTACATGCTGCAGCAGTGATTGGGAATATTCACGCATTTTCAAAAAAAGCACAAAGAGAGGAACAGAAAAGCGGGTTCTTGACATGTCCTTGAACATGATAACATGGAGACGTTAAATTAACTCTTGACAACAAAATAGCTCAACTCATGAGAGTGACCAACTCCCCATATATATGCATTATTTATTCCACATGAATAGAATAAAGAGGTAGAATTGGTTGGAGGAACTGGCATGACGACATAGAAGTTTTTTTCTTCTTCTCGACTCCGAATACAACATTCCAGCATGCATGAACCCATGGATCATACATTATTTGACACGCAGGCATATTACAGTAGCTTTCTTTAGCCCTTACCTTCTGTGCAGTTGGGTCTATCTAGTCCTGGTTGACATTCACACACTTTGCTCTTTTTCACCCAGGGTTCCTCGCACACAACTGCATCCATCACATAGCACAGACCGAAGAGGAAGAAGAGGAGAGAGTGAATCAGCCGGAAACGGAGTCAGGCAGACTAAAGACAATCATAATATGTATAAAGTAAAAGAGGCTGGACAAGGGAACCTTGGATAAATCTGGGTTTCGATCATAATGGCCTGGCTGGGCCAGGGAAACTTGGATAAATCTGGGTTTCGATCATAATGGCCTGGCTGGGCCAGGGAAACTTGGATAAATCTGGGTTTCGATCATAATGGCCTTCTTCCAAAAGATAGAATTGCTGCTGGAAGGTAAGCACTCTTAAAGCAGGAATGACAAGCAGCAGTTTACAAATCAGTGCTATCAGTAGAAATTACCATCACTGCTCTGCGGCACACTCAGACAATTGAAACTTTGCTAACAAACAAAATGACGACAGAAGCACAACGTGACATGACCAACTTAAGACAGAGGGTGGTAATAGGTTTTTCATTTGACAAAACCAGACCAAACCAGAGCACTTGCAGACGACAGTTCTCCGGCCACACTCCAAAATAGCAATTTGTGCTACTCCTGAACTGTGAACTGTTCGTGCTTTTTTGTTGTGTCATTTAGGAGTGAAACGAATTCTGAATATTCTGGAATTGTTCCTTTGGATAACAATTCGAAGCATTCGGTTCAGATCGGAATACATTGTGTTTTGGTTTTGGACATTTTGCATGTGCAAGTAAGGCTGCGTTTACACGACAAAGCTGGGGGTGAAAACGCAACAAAATCCTTTCGGATGCATGGTTCATTTACACGGTACGAAGAGCAAAACGTAAAAGTTGTAGACCAAAATGGAAGAAAACCAAAACGCTGGCCAAGGTGGAAGAATTTGAAAACGAAATTGTTCTGCAGGATAAATTTGAGTGTGTAAACAGTCGAAACGGTATGCTGGCCTCGTTTTTCGTCACGTTTGTTTCGTTTTCGGCCGTTTACACGGATCCGGCAATCCAAAAAATTGTTTTTACAATTTTCGTCATGTGACGAGTGTTGTTTTGTGGCCTATTCCTGGAGTGTGATTGGTGCTTCCACGACAACACTTGGCACATGACGAACGTTTGCGGATCCTTTGCTCCCGTGTAGAAGCGCGAAAACGATACAAACGGAGACCACCTCGGATCAGCATTGATCATGTAAACACACGAAAACGAAAGAAGAAATGCGGGACCGAAAATGGAAAACTGGCCGTGCATTTTCATGTAAACACAGCCTAATATTGCAGTCATTGACTAGGTCCGTGTGAGGTTATAGCTTACAACATTAGAGAGGTTCCATACAACATAATTAGTCGATGAATGGAGAGTCCCACTGCATGAGGACCTGTGTTCCGCCTTATGGAGTTTTCGAATCACGTACCTGCCCTTGGCAGCTTGGAACACGGCAGTGTATGACCGGGTCGACCTGGCTAGAGAGTCCTAAATATGTACCACTAACGTAAAGTTGCTCAGCTTTACGTAGTGTCGAACCTCTCTATTAGGGTGCTGTAATTTCACAAATTTTCTGTGTACTTTTATTTTCGGTACTTTCGGTGCGTCTGTTTCATACGTAAAATTTCAAGACACCAAACAAACACTAACACACATAATCCAATAGGGAACTGCTGCTCTGTACCGAAACTTTCTGTCCACCTAACCTAGCCTGTTGCCCTCATACCGAAAATATTGAGCACCGAAAATTTCTGAAATTTTGAGTAACCTCAAGTACATGGCAGTAGAATGCGGTGGTTGGCATGCTGGGAAAGGGGACTATGGCTCACAAGGCTGAACCAGACAGAACTGTCTACATATTCTTTAGTGATGTGAGAACAAACAAACTATAGAATATCCGGTATCCAATTTGAAGAAGAGGTTGGTGCTACTTCGGCGATACTTATTCAATTCGTTTACAGAATATTCGGTACGATTTAGAATATTCGTGTCACCCCAACACTCCTATTTCAAGCGAGCACTCAAAAAGACCAGTATGCATGTCCTAGTTCTCTGTCACCCCTGTTAAAACTACCGCGAAGCCTACCCATACACGTAAGGTAAAGGGGAGCCCACTTTTACATGGATGTACGCTCTGAAAATCCCACGCCAGCCATATGAAATGAGTAAAACGAATTCACTTCTACTTACCGAGTTGGCAATGGTGGCCGGTGAATCCCCTAGGGCAGCTGCATTCACCTTTGTTATCACACTCACCTTGGTTCAAGCACTTGCATGCTGCAACAGGCAGGGAAAAAAGCACATGCATGGAGTGAGTTACGCAGAAATAATGCACAGGAGGTCACTGTGTAGTAAGTGGCCCCCGGAGGCAATCACGCACAAACTCAAGTCAAAGCACTCACTTTCTAGTTTTACAAATAATCGTCACAGAAGAAATATTCTATACACACTTGGAACGCAAAGAGAGTAAAGAAGCAACAATAAAGAAGAAAGGAAGGGAACAGAAGTTCGGCAACCTGCAGCCATGTTCTAAGTCCCTAACCAATAAGCAATCTACGAAAACCGGTTGCCGACGAAATTCTAGAACCTTCTGGAACATTAGTATAAGTAGCCAATCACATTTCAAAGCTCAAGAACACAAACAAGACACAGGGGATGTAGGGACGGCTTCTTGTTAGTGTTCATCCCTTCCTCTGGAAGGTGTGTGTTCTGATAAAAACAACAAAAACCTAATGCAGGGCGGTAGCGACCACTTTTGGACTGGTCTCAGTTGGACATTTTACCTTTTAAAACTTGCAGTTAAGATGGTATCACCTAAACTTGGAGAAAGTACTTTTTTCTCGTCCGTCTTGATGATACTGCAAAACCATCAGATGATGGAGACGGCCTTGTGACGTCTTCAGGTGGCGAAATGCACGGAATAACCTCTCTAATGTGGAGTTTGTGGCCGGAAGAATAGACAGTCGTGTGGCAAAGCACTGAACCTGCACCCTTATCATAATCTAGGAAAGCCAAGATTGTGCCGTTAGGGCTTAGAAGCGCACATTACAGGCTTCGTTTCCTCGCACAATTGTTTTGGAAACTAAAAACATTGCTGGCTATGGGAATATAAGAAATCTCAGGAACAGATGCCTTCAAGGTTTTCGCAGCCATCTCCGACTCTCGATCAACATGAAGCAAAAAAAACCCTGTGCCGCCAGTCTGTCCCTGAGAGCCCTACATATAAGGCACAGTACATGCAGGTCTCCCTAGACGGTGCTGTGTACATAATGCACATGGTACTGCGCCCAATCGATCGCTGAACTCCCATCGGCTCTCTAGAAAGAGAAAAGGAAACTTCGGCCCGAAAAGTGGTCCGGTGAAACAAGGACCAACCGGACAGGTGGCTTTGCCCCCTGTAATCGCTTACCCACACATACACGCACCTACACACACATACACACACAAGCACGCACATACACACACATTCAGATATGCATATGCGCACATACAGACACATACACACATATACACACACATGCACACAAACCTAATGGCTTGCTGTCTTACCCTTTTCACATTCTTCACCGTAGGACATAGTGCGGTTACATACACAACTCATGCTTGGTGCAAGAACACCGCTCCCACAGGACTCTGTGCAGAAAAAGACAATAAAAGTCAATATCGGATTACTCTTATGCAGTCTATAACAGGGCTGCCACACTTGGAGGGAGAAAAATCTGACGGGGGTCTGGGGGGTCCCCCGGGTGAAAATATTTAGGAAAATGGCTTGCTGTTGGGGTCCCAGAACACATTTTTAACGGTCAACACATTTGCATTTTACAGCTACATGTACATGTACATGTACAATGACTGGACAAACGCGACCTGGAAGCGCCGAATGGCCAACTGGACTAAAAAGTGCTCAAAACAAAAATCGGTCGGTTTTTCCGACCGCGGATCAAAAATCGGACGATTTCCAAAAAAAATCGGAGCAAGTGGCAGCCCTGCTATAACACTAGAATGGGGATAATAGCTTATCTAAAAAAAACCTGTCACGCAGAATTGAAGGAACAAGATGAGTTGTTCTTGGGCTTTTACACCCACGGTACCATAGACCGGGATGCATGACAGCAAGGCACGGTACCATAGAACGGGATGCATGACAGCAAGGCACGGTACCATAGACCGGGATGCATGACAGCAAGGCACGGTACCATAGACCGGGATGCATGGCAGCAAGGCACGGTACCATAGACCGGGATGCATGACAGCAAGGCACGGTATCATAGAACGGAAGCATGACAGCAAGGCATGGTACCATAGAACGGGACGCATGACAGCAAGGCACGGTACCATAGAACGGGATGCATGACAGCAAGGCACAGCACCATAGAACGGGATGCATGACAGCAAGGCACGGTACCATAGAACGGGATGCATGACAGCAAGGCACGGTACCATAGACCAGGATGCATGACAGCAAGGCACGGGACCGTAGACCGGGATGCATGACAGCAAGGCACGGTACCATAGAATGGAAGCATTACAGCAAGGCACGGTACCATAGAACGGGATGCATGACACCATAACACTTCCAACACGGTTTCTGAGCTCTTGCTGTACGATAGATACATCCGTATTACTGTGCAGTGCATACTGCAAATGCTCAAATGTTCGGAACTCGCCTTTCCCTGAAAGGCATTGAGCAATCGAAAAGTCTATTTGCATAGGAAAGTTCTCAGCTCCGTCGGCAAATAGTAGGGTTACAGCCCTCGCCAGGGATTTTACGTCAAGTAGTAAACTTTCACCTCCTCACGTGGTGACAGTCATGGGAATTCCCCCTGTTTCTTGACAACAACAAAAAGTTGTCTGTAAATTATCTCAACCCTGGTGGCATGTCGAACTTCAGCTTGTCATGCATTTTGATTCCTCGCAATTGGAATCCAGGGAGCAAATTCTCCCCCGTCTCTGCCACAAACTGATATTGCGCCAAACAAAACCTTAGAATCAAAACATGCTGTAATGACTTCGGAGTTACCCTGGGAAGACACAGAAGAAACACAGCCTGAATCTAAGTTCTGGGAGTGTTCTCAATGTTGTGATTCACCGTGGGTGCAAGAAATGCTGGGAGACGACATGTTTGCACATTGCAAGTGGGCACATCGTTGGGACAAGCCCTGTTCATACAGTGCACGTAGCGACGGGACACATTTACACAAACGCACAACTATCTTCATCACGTTAGCGGCACAAACAGGGACAAACACACAGCTTGTGCATGGACAGCCATTGCAGAAGACAGTCACTTATTATTCTCTCACTTACTGACACAGAGAATCTTGGCATCCTCATGGCTTGTTTTGTTCTTAAACGTCACATGTTGTCTGCTAAATTTTACTGTTCTGTAAAGGGACTGACCATTGACCAGGATTGGCGCGACGTGGTAACCTAATCCGTCGGACTTATCTAAAGCCAATCTCTCTAGCCAGCGTTCTCTTAACACATGGCCATGTTCTTGTAACCAGTCTTTGGTTATGAGGCGAAGTCCGTACTGCTGACATGCGTTCTCTGCGCACTGCTCAGTCACGCTGGGTCCGAGTGCTGGAGTTGCTGCGGCGTATACAGAATCGTTGGCATGGAGCCATTGGGCTGCAAAACAAAGGGCATATACAGTTGCGGGTAGAAACAAAAATAGGCGGAAGAGAACTAAGACAAGCGGCATCATTATTGCTTTAACGCTGCGTTTCGTGCAAATAGCAAGGCCAAAGCTGTGTTCATTTTTAGCTACCTAGTAGAGTAGAGTCACTCTACCGATAGGCCACACGTTTTATTTCTATGTTCCTCGTCACCTGAAAATCTAAAAATGTATGCGAGAGGTGGAAAAATACAAAATGACCGAAGAATAAAAAAAGTTTATTAGACCTTTGTTCACACTAAAATCCACCAATACACCATGCAAAACAGCATCCATAGTTAGCAACTAGTATGTGGTAGGCGCTTCTATCACAATCTGTGCATGTGCAGCTAGACTGCGCACAACAAATGCCGACCGGGCATCATGTGTCGCACAGGCCACGCCACATTGTGTACATGTGCATGAGTGTGCTGGTCCCCACATGCACAGTCAGTGCAGCACAGTTTTTTTTTCTTTTTTTCTTCCAGACTCCTAAATCGTATGCGCGTGGGTGACAAGAAACATAGAAATAAAAATGTGTGGCCATAGAGGTAGATGGTAGAGGCAAGTGTACGAACGCTGTTCTACCGGATTTAGTAGTTTACACGATGTGTACGTGAAATGTTTCTTTTTTGTATGGAGTTGGGTACAAATCCTTGAGCTTGCTGGAAATCCCATAGCTCTACCGACTTCTACCGGATTCAACTAACTTCTTCCCGGTAGAGCCGGTAGAAGAAAATAGAATTTACCCTTTTGAGTCGAATTTCTTTTCCAAAAACGAAAAACTCTACCGAAAGAAGTAGTTTCTACCCAAACCTGTAGATCAAAAACGAACGCCCCCCAAAGCAATCCTCAGACAACTAAAATTCTCGCTATTGTGAATTTAAAATCGTGCTTGATGACACCCGATCTCTTGGATACGGAAGTGCCCAGAGCTAGTGAGTAGTTCAATGTTCACAGGTCTGGGGCTCGCCAGACTTCATAGAGCAGCACCGTGTCACATTTGCAAACCATTCAGCGGTTCTACCAAGGGAGTAGTATAACACCGGGTTATGACACAAGCATACGCATGAAATGCTTCTTCGCAGGTGAAATCAATTGGTTACGCATGTGTGGGTCTGACCCTGGCTATAACGGTAGGTGTGACATTGATGTGAGAAACCCAGGTGGCTGCACTCTTGTTGTCTCTTTGTTTCATACTTTCCTGTCCCGTCATTATCATTGGACATACTATCCTGTCCATGCATGCACTGTGTGCTACTCAGCATTCTCACCATTTGCCCGTCCAATGATATCGCTTTAAAACAAGCAATTGTTTACCTTCGCAGATGACATTGTGACGGCCGAAACCATGAACACTAAATATTGCACCACCCGATTTGTTCTTGTCCTGCTTGTAAATAATATGCCGACGATTGTACTCGGATGATGTCCATATCGTGATCGGGCTGCTGTTACTGTTCACCATCATCTCGTGGAGCAATGACTTTACGCACCCACTCACACCAAGCTTTGAGCCGAGCAAGGTGAAGGTTTTAAAGTCGACCAGCTGATATCCCCTATCACTGCATGCGTCTCTGGCTTTCCTCCAACTGGTTATCTTCGGGCACCTGCCAGAATAACACGGCAAGCCGGCGAGAGCCGTCCAGGTGTACATCACCTTGTCCGTACCCAGGCACTTTGTCCTGAAATCTGAACACAGCACAGTACACAGACATTTACAACATACTCAGGTACAGGAGAAAAATATTACGGTGGCCAAAAAACCCTTTCTGTCCGACTTGTGTTCAAATTTTCAAGGTTGAAGCACTATAAGGAAAAGCTGTTAATCCCATTATTTTGCTAGTGGGTAACGGATCCTTCTCTATATTTTGGGCCTGTGAAAGTCACACCCAGACATTCTCATTAATTTATGCGCTTTTACCAACAGGATGAAGGCTTGTACTAATTATGATATACCGTAGTGTCTTGTATTAAAGCCTATCTCATATGGAAGCAAACGGCGGGGAGACAATAATTTGATAACCGCAATAAAAAAAATTAGCTGAAACGAAATTTGTGTATTTTATTCACTGAAACAATTTACAAGTGTTGGAAGCTATCTATCAGCGTCTGTATAAGCCAAATTTGTGTGTACAGAAAGATAGTATAATTGGGTTGAAATTGTTCAAGTAACGTGTCGTGTTTGGTTCAGCCAAGCTTGGCCGTTAATGTTCTAGGTGGAATGAAGAGTACATGAAAACCAGAGTGTGCAGCTTGGGGCCTTTTCTGCTATGGATGTCTGTCACGGCGAAATTCCGTGATTACATCATATTTGGCCCAGATCTGAGGCGGGAAATGGCGTAGTGCGTACAACTGAGCTGCAGTTGTGCAGAAAGAGACCTGCTTGAATCCTGCTACATCACTAAAATGATGTAATCACGGAATTCTGCAGTGACAGCAACCCATCCGAGCTGCACACTCTGGTTTTCATGAACTCTTGGTGAAATGTACTGCTTGTATGTGTTATCACTTTGTCCTTCCTTCTTTCTTTCTCTTGTTTGTTAATTTCTCGCTTTGATTGTTAAAATTCACACTTGTAAATTTCATTGCTGTTGTTCTTAGTGTTATTTCTCTAACCTAGATTTTCTATAAGAGTTCAATTTTGTTTCAATGTCCTTTAGTACAACGACGAATCCTGATGAGTGTTGTACGAAAACTTGTTTGAATCCATTTTTTTCTCCACACCATTTCTTCATATTTTCATCATTTTATTGCACATCGTCTCCACCGTTTTTTTTACATTGCATGAATAAAATACAAAAATGTCGGTTCAGCTAATTTTATTGATAGCGGTTATCATATAGAAGCCTGTTTTGAATAGAGGTCTGATTTTCAGAATACACTGTTGGCACACAAGCCTGGTTTTAGTGTTGACGCACATATAAATACCTGGTTTGAATAGAAGCTTGATGTGAATACTGAATAGAAGCCTAGCCCTGAAATCGGCTTCCACAGGAATACGCTCGGCGGTAATACACGACACTACGGTGAGTACATTTCAATTCTCTTTCTGGAATTCTGGACCATTATGATCAAATGCTGGGGAGACAAACGCACTGGAATCAATTAATCCCATTTTTCTGTAAACAGTGGGTAAATGAGTCCAATAACGTCACATCATTTTAGCATTACTTTATGATACTAACTGTGTGGAATATGAAGTTCCTACAATGGAGTCTGCATGCCCTTAGGAAGGAACCTTTTGCTCCAAGCATCTACAGAGAGGTGGCAAAGCCATTGTTCTTAAAAAAAAATAGAAAACGGCTTTGACTGTGAGTTTACTGAAAAGCAATACTTGTAGTCCAGCACTACTGCTCTGCTCGAGTAGAGTAATTGTGCATGTGCCGGTGTGTATTTTTGTGTGTGTGTGTGTGTGTGTGTGTGTGTGTGTGTGTATTTGTGTGTGTGTGTGTGTGTGTGTGTGTGTGTGTGTGTGTGTATGTGTGTGTGTTTTTAGTGAATGTGTGCAGGTGTGGTGTTACATACTCACTTCACATTGCAGATACCCTCATTGATTTGTTTCCGTCTTCTCTTTGGGCTTTGTTCATGATGGCATTTTCCTCTTTCTCTTTTTCTTATCATTATCACTATCTTCATCATTTTGCGAGAACTGTGGCAACACGCCCAGTGAGAAGGCAGATTTTGCCTGTACTTCTGGTGAAGAAAATTATAGCTAAACAAAACCAAACAGAGACACTTACTGTCCTGACATTGGTCTCCCCGGAATCCGGTCGGACAGACGCAGGTGCCGTCTTCAGTACACTGACCATTATTCAGGCAATTGCATGCTGCAGCAGTGATTGGGTGCACATATTTTCCAAAAGCAAACGAATAGTGGCAGAACAACATAGCATATCGGATTCTCGAGTTTGTTACATGTATCTTGCTCATCATGACACTGTACCCACCAGTACATAGCTACATGAACAGCCAGATTACAACACTCCCACGTATATCCAACTGATGCCCATATGACTGTATCATTTATTGCACGTGGATAGGACAAAATTCCAGCCACTTTTAAGGTCACAGTACGTTGGGCAATCCGGCATACAAACTCGGAAGTGTATCTTTGGCTTCAAATACAATATAACGGCATGTATGTTCCCATGGGTCATACATTCTTTGACACGCTGGCACATACTATATTACAGCAGCTTTCTTCAGCCCTTACCTACTGTGCAGTTAGGTCCATTTAGTCTGGGTTTACATTCGCATACTTTGTTCTTTTTCACCCAGGGATGTGTGCACACAACTGCATCGCATATCACAAGAAAGAGGGAGAACAGCCAGAGATTAGCCAGACACAAGAAGGACAGACAAGTGGACAGAGGGAAAAACAATCTATTATTATTTATTTTGAACAAACGACGAGGAGACAACAATTTGATAACCGCAATCAGCAATACAAGCCTGGATCGACATTTGTGTACACTTTATTCATGTAATGTAAAACTGTGGAGACAATGTGCAATAAAACGATGAAAATGTGAAGAAATTGTGGAGAGAAAAAAAAGGAAAGGGATTGAAACAAGTTTTCGTACAACACTCATCAGGAATCTTCGTTGTACTAAAGGACACTGAAAACAAAATTGAATTTTTATAGAAGATCTAAGTTAGAGAAATAACACTAAGAAGAACAGCAGTGAAATTTACAAAAGTGAATTTTAACAATGGAAGCGAGAGCAATGACGAATGTGTGTACCAACACTAAACTTGCAGCTGAAATATGAACAAAGAAGAGAAAGAAAGAAGGAAGGACAAAATGATAACAAATAACAGCAGTACATTACACCTAGAACATTAACGGCCAAGCTTGACTGCACCAAACATGACACATTACTTGAACAATTTCTACCCAATTATACTATCTTTCTGTACACACAAATAAGGCTTATACAGACGCTGACAGATGGCTTCCAAAACTTTTCACTGTAGTCCATAACCATGACGACCACGGCACAATACAGTGAAAGAAGAGTCGGAATACGAATTGTAACAATCAGGACTAGCCAACAGATGATTGTACACTGAAGACTTGCTACCCCGAAACCTACGCACAACACTAACATTCTCACCGGCACTCTCACGATCACTACAATAGTTGCTCTCCGACTCTCTGCTCCCTTCACCGTCCGTCCCATCATCCGCTTCCTCTGCGCTCTCTCTGTTATCCCGCCTGACTTGGTCCATTGAACGGGACTCGGCCGTCACCCTGCTGTCACGTCCCTCCTTACGCCCTTGTCCGTTGAGTTCGTAGCTTTTGTTGTAGTTGGCTGTTGATCGTCTTGGTCTTTCAATAGCGGGCTTGGATGGTGGATTAGTTGTGGTTGCTGTAGATTGCAATGTTGGTGATGGTGTGGGAGCTGCTGATACGCAAGGTGGGATTTTTGGGGTTGGCAATTGTAGTGGTAACGCCACTGCCGGTGTTGCTCGCGGTCTTTCACTGGCAAGCTCCACCGCAGCAAGAGCCGACGGCGGAGCATCAGGAGGAGGCAGTGGGACCGGGACCGCAAGCGGCACCTCCCCAGCCAAAGCCGCCGGGTGCACCGACGAAGGAACCACTGACGGCAGTAGCAAAGGCGACGACACAAGCCGGCCCGATGAGCCACCACGACCACCCTCCTCCACCACAGCCACCAGCGACGGCGGAGCAAGCACAGTCTGTTAGCCAGGATCCGCAAGTTGTGTAGGTAACGGTTGTTTTCTAGGTAACCCTCGCTTCGGTCTTTGTTGTTGTTGTAAATATCACTGCTGTTGTTCTTAGTGTTATTTCTCTAACTTAGATTTTCTATTATAAGTTCAATTTAGTTTTCAGTGTCCTTTAGTACAACGAAGATTCCTGATGAGTGTTGTACGAAAACTTGTTTGAATCCCTTTCCATTTTTTTTTCTCTACACAATTTCTTCACATGTTCATCGTTTTATTGCACATTGTCTCCACAGTTTTACATTGCATGAATAAAGTGTACACAAATGTCGATCCAGCTTGTATTACTGATTGCGGTTATCAAATTATTTATTTTACTAGTATAAGAGGAAAACATGTACAGTTTGCGTGCGACTCGGCTAGAGGCCGAGTTTTCCACATCTATTGGAATACCCCACCCCTCAAGGGTCAAGGCTCCCATTCAGCTCCAAGAGGCAAGAGACTGGACAATTGACCAGGAAATTGTAACTCATTGCGGACGAATGAGCGTTTCGACCGCACAAAAATAGCAGGTTTGGTGATGCACATGTTCTTATTCCTAGCAAGAGCTTGATGAAACGGAATACTTGTTCTGTCGACTTTCACTCAAAATAGAAACTAGAACACGGCCTGCATAATCAGGGCCAACCGGAACAACTCCAAAGCCTACACACAGTCAGGGGAGGCCATGTTCACACGAAAGGTATACTTTGAGAATTGCATACAATGTAAAGGAAACACTTGAAGTAAACAAATTCAAAGCATTTCGGAGACAGCAACTTTAATATGCCAACCAAGAGTACTAACCATGCATTATTACAATAGTAACAAACATGCGAGAGAAATGGGAATGTGAAATGTACATGTAAAAAGAAGCAGACGTGTTCAGATCGGTAAGGAAATTCACTTCTACCAAAAGTTCATAACCCCAAGGGTGTGCAACTGGTTGTCTGGCTGCTGTAGGCCCACTGCGCGGCGAAATTCCAACATAACGTCATGCCACTGAGACACAGAGGACAAAACTCTGCATTCCGCGGTGCTTGGATTTTTTGTTTGGCACCAGGGAGTCGGCACCAGGGAGTCGGCACTTGTGCCAGTGGTTGTGAGACTTACCCACTCACCCCCACCGTTAGGCGCTGCATCTGCCGCTAGGGTTTATCGGGTGTTAGCGGCCGTCGTGAGTTCCCTTCGGGAACGGATACGATAATTTACTTACTTTTTACCAGGGAGTAGTACAAGCGCAACGAACGTGTACGTCATTTTTGACGTGATGTTGGAATTCCGCCGCGCGGACCCCATGTACAGAGTTGCAAACTCTTGGGGTAATGGACGCCTGCTTCTACTTACCCTTCTGGCAATTGTCTCCGGTGAATCCCTTCAGGCAGATGCATTTGCCTTTGTCGTCACACTGACCCTGGTTCAAACACTTGCACACTGCAGCAGCCACCGCATACACGCAACATGGCATGAAACAGAGAAAATACACGGTTTGGTTACGCAATGAGCAGTGGAGATAGAGAAAGTAGACTACACAAAGTTACCAGGCAACTTCTGCTTGCAAGCAAACTGGGGCGTGAACACTGTTAAACACTGAAGCCAGCACTCGAAAATAGTACTAGGACAAAAACACATATAACCGTTAGTAGATCTACTCGTAACAGCCATTCATAAACAAATATGATACAATTCGCCTGTGGGGATTGCCCATTTAAAAATTTAAATAATAAGAATAATAATAATTAAAAAGCTTCCGTGGAGATAAAAATGTAATCAACGCAATAAATAGAGTAAGCTGCGCACTCAGTACAAACACCATAAGCAAAACTTGTTTTCATGTAAATAAAGAAGCTTGTTCCTAAACGTTTTCGTCGCCATCTCATCAGAGGATTACTGGCAAATCAACAAAAGCTCTTAACTCAATATATATACGCACAATGCAAGTAATAATTTAGACCCTAACTAGAGCAATAAAATGAGAGCTGAAGAAATATTACACCATTCAACGATATCAGGTATATATATTGAGTTAAGAGCTTTTGTTGATTTGCCAGTAATCCTCTGATGAGATGGCGACGAAAACGTTTAGGAACAAGCTTCTTTATTTACATGAAAACAAGTTTTGCTTATGGTGTTTGTACTGAGTGCGCAGTTTACTCTATTTATTGCGTTGAATAATAATAATAATAATAATAATAATAATAATAATAATAATAATAATAATAATAATAATAATAATAATAATGTGGATTCACAGGAAGTGTGAGTTACGAAGTCTGAAGAAAACGTTGAATGGTCTCTGCTTGGATGACGACTACACCATAGCTCAGTGGTTAGAGCATCGTTGGCTACAAGCGAGGGTCCCTGGTTCGAGTCCTGGTGGTGACAGTCAATTTTTTCTTCAGACTTTTCCCGTTTGTCTCTTTCCCTCAAACTAGTGAAGATTTTATGACTTGGGGCTCCCCGTGTGCTAGAGTGTACGTGAAGTGTGTGGGTACAGTGAGGGCTGCGTCCCACCCGCCTGTGTAGATTCACAGGAAGTGTGAGTTACGAAGTCTGAAGAAAATGTTGAACAGTCTCTGCTGGGATGACGACTAGACCATAGTTCAGTGGTTAGAGCATCGCTAGCTACAAGCGAGGGTCCCTGGTTCGAGTCCTGGTGGTGACAGTCAATTTTTTCTTCAGACTTTTCCCGTTTGTCTCTTTCCCTCAAACTAGTGAAAATAATAATAATAATAATAATTTGAAACTCGGGTATTGAGCCAATAATAAAAGTAGAAAGGAAAAGGACTTAATTACGGAAACGAGTTAAGAGTAACTCTCCACCACTGTAACTAGATACTATATACAGTTGGAAGTTGGAAGGCTGTCGGTTAGCGCAACGGAGATGTTTTGAAGCTAGGTGTCAGGACGTCGAATGTCTCAGTACTCTGTCAGTTTTGTGCCTAGTTGTTGCACTTTCTGACTGTATATAGTGTCTAGTTACAGTGGTGGAGAGTTACTCTTAACTCGTTTCCATAATTATGTCCTTTTCCTTTCTAATTATAATAATGATAATTCATTGCATTCCCAACTCATCACAACCACGCGCTCTTCAGCCGAACCATACAGACACCAGCAAGGACACTTCCGTTGAGAGATAATAATTATTGCTCCACGCCTCTAGACAGCTGTTTCGCTCCCTGTCGGAGCTCATCAGTAGAGGATGATAATGATGATAATGGAGGAATGATCATTCTTATACACCAGAAATGGCGCAAGTGCGCGTTTCCACATAATTATATCAATGGCATATGCAAGCTGCTAAAATGGTAAAGTGTGAGAACAGCGATAAATAATCATAGTACGCGCTCATTGGTGGAGAAACACACCACACAGGCGACGAAAATCTTACGCGGAATACTGATGCCAAAGGAAAGTACATGTATGTTGTTTATTATTATGATGTTGCAATGTCCATGTATGCAGGCCAGGCGAGACTCACCGCCGAGATCCCCCAACGCGACAGGCTCGGTTGCCGTTCAGGATTCACACCGACCTGTCCGCCCGTCAACAGGATCGACAGCGGGGGGCCCCACTGATGCCGATGTCGATGCACACCAGGAAACTTGTAGTCGTGAGTGTGATACTAACACGTCCATCGGCAACCACTGACAAACGAGAGGCCAGCTGGGGCATTCACTCCAGTCGGGGATGCTTGGTCGACGCTTCGTATCAGCAGCTCAGCTCATTTTGATCAAACAAAGATATTGCAGATGTGTCTTGCTTTTCCCCTTCCTTCTTCACCGACTCGTCTTGTCATCTCTCCTTCTTTCTTCACCGACTCTTCGTGTCCACTCTGCTCTGCCACTAACGGCGCATTAAAACTTCAGAACTAAATATTGCGACAGAGCTTTCGGCCATATTTTCAATTCATTGCATTCCCAACTCATCACAACCACGCGCTCTTCAGCCGAACCATACAGACACCAGCAAGGACACTTCCGTTGAGAGATAATAATTATTGCTCCACGCCTCTAGACAGCTGTTTCGCTCCCTGTCGGAGCTCATCAGTAGAGCATGATAATGATGATAATGGAGGAATGATCATTCTTATACACCAGAAATGGCGCAAGTGCGCGTTTTCCACATAATTATATCAATGGCATATGCAAGCTGCTAAAATGGTAAAGTGTGAGAACAGCGATAAATAATCATAGTACGCGCTCATTGGTGGAGAAACACACCACACAGGCGACGAAAATCTTACGCGGAATACTGATGCCAAAGGAAAGTACATGTATGTTGTTTATTATTATGATGTTGCAATGTCCATGTATGCAGGCCAGGCGAGACTCACCGCCGAGATCCCCCAACGCGACAGGCTCGGTTGCCGTTCAGGATTCACACCGACCTGTCCGCCCGTCAACAGGATCGACAGCGGGGGGCCCCACTGATGCCGATGTCGATGCACACCAGGAAACTTGTAGTCGTGAGTGTGATACTAACACGTCCATCGGCAACCACTGACAAACGAGAGGCCAGCTGGGGCATTCACTCCAGTCGGGGATGCTTGGTCGACGCTTCGTATCAGCAGCTCAGCTCATTTTGATCAAACAAAGATATTGCAGATGTGTCTTGCTTTTCCCCTTCCTTCTTCACCGACTCGTCTTGTCATCTCTCCTTCTTTCTTCACCGACTCTTCGTGTCCACTCTGCTCTGCCACTAACGGCGCATTAAAACTTCAGAACTAAATATTGCGACAGAGCTTTCGGCCATTGCAACATCAT